ATGTGGAAGGGAAGGACCTTCAGGTACCGATTCAGTCCCCTTAGATCTAAAATGGGGCGAAAACCGCCGGTCTTCTTGGCCACAAGGAAGTATGTGGAGTAGTAGCCTCTGGGTTGCTGCAGAGGATCTACAGACTCGATTGCCCCCTTGCCCAGGAGGGCGGAAAGCTCCTGGTCTAGTGCCTGAGATTTCACCGGGTCTGTGATGACAGTCATCTTGACCCGGTGTGAGAGGGGGGGCCGCCGTCGGAACTGGAGCCTGTAGCCATTGGTTAAGGTGGCAACCACCCATGGATCTACGGCATGAGCAGCCCAGAAATTCAGCTGCTGATGGGAAAAATGTCCGACGGCTGGCCCGGTGGCATCATCTTCTATCCCCACGGCCCCTGGGGGCTCTGGGGGGAGGGCGTCCAGGATTTGAGGCCCGGGTCTGTCTAACAGGGCGGCAGACTGGCTCACGAAAGTCCCTCCTCGGTCTCTGCCGCACATCATGGGGATAGGAACTAACAGGTCTGCCACCAGTCTGAGGTCGTGGCTGAACGCTGGGGGTAGTGGCAGGGCGGCCCGAACGCTGGGGAAAGGCAGGTATGCTCCTGCGAAGGCCGGAAAGCTGCTGGCTAGTCTGACGTGCCTGAGCAGTCCGTTCCAGTGCCTCCAAGGCAGCTAATCCAAACAGCTCCCCTGGTACAACCGGGACACCCCTGAGGGTCCTACGGCATGCTTCAGTCAGAGGAGACTGTGCCAACCAGACCTGTCTACGAGCTTGGGCAAGGAAAGACATGACCCATCCAAGCTCTCTGGTCATCAGCGCAAAGGCCTGCAGCGCTGCGTCACTATAACCAACCGCCGCACTTGCACCACCAGTGTCCTGAACAGATGCAGACAGGGCAACATGAGGTGCGCCAGGGAATTGCCAAGGTGGCCAGCACGCGCTCCTGCATTGTACACCTTACAGAGGAGTTCATCTGTAACCCGACATTGAGTCCGCGGGCACCGGACATCAGGACGCAGGGCTTCATCTGGTGACACAATCAGTGAAGCAACAGCTGGTTCAATTGCTGGCATACGGTCCAGGCCGGCCTTCACTGACTCATGCATGGCAGCTAATACACGACCATCCGAGGGGAGACGCGACAGCGCTCTCGGTTCCCGCCAACAGGCGTGTAACTCCTTCAGGTACTCCACTGATGGAGGTACAGAAAAAGGAGTAGGAGCCCTTCCACGTCTGAAAAAAGCACTGCCAGAGCTGGATGCCTCTCCTTGTGGGAGTTCCAGCTGCAGCTGCTTCAGGGCCATAGACATGACCTCCCGCATGGAACCGTCACCGGCCTCTCCAACCGTACTCTGAGATGAAAATGAACCAGCCTCAGTGGCTTGAGAGGACCCTGCCTCCTCCTCATCACTATAATNGGAAGACGCCATGGAGTACCGTGACACAGCAGGAACCACGGCCGCGCTGGCCAGAACGGAGCTACCAGCAACACTCTGTGGCCCTGCTCGAGAACCCTCCGTAGAGTCGGCCAAATCAGTGAGAGGGGTGGAAAGGCATACAGGAGAACCTGCGGCCATGGATGAGCCAGTGCATCCTGGCCCAGTGCGCCCGCCACCCTGGTTAGGGAATACCATAGGGGCAATGGGTCGACTCCTCTGTGGCGAACAGATCTGCCTGCCCAAAGAGGTTCCAGATTATGCGAACTACGTCGCGGTGAAGAGACCACTCTCCCGGAGCAGGTGCCTGGCGGGATAGAGAGTCCGCAACATGGTTCTGCCGTCCTGGCAGATACGCTGCGCACAGGGTACACAGACGGGGAAACGCCCATTCCAGGAGATCCCTCGACACCTTCAAGAGACGTGCTGACCTGGTGCCACCTAGGCGGTTTATATGATAAATAACAGAGGTGTTGTCCGTCCGAATCAGCACGTGCCTTCCCTCTAGGTGGGGCAGAAGGCACCCGAGGGCCATGTGCACAGCCCGCAGCTCCAGCACATTTATGTGTTCGGTGCGCTCCCTTGGAGACCCCGAACAGCTCTGTGTTGCCACACGGCACCCCAGCCCATGAGGCTGGCATCCGTGGTGACCACCTCCCTTCGACACACTATTGGAACACCACTGGACAAAAGGGTCCCGTCTCACCAAGGAGCTAGGGCATGGAGGCAGCTCCTGGTCACCATCAGCCTGCGATGCATGTGCAGCCTGGCATCTAGGCGAAAGCTGTTGAGCCATCGCTGCAAAGGACGCAGAAGGAGCAGCCCTAAGGGCACGACATGAGTGACTGATGTCAGTTTGCCCAGCATTGGCAGGAAGATGATGTAGGGAAACTCCCTGCCCAGTCTGAAACGACGGACAAGCTGGAGTATGTCGTCTACCCTGTGAACAGATGGACGGGCCATCATGGTAGCGGAGTCCAGATGCATCCCAAGAAAGGTGGTTGTCTGAGATGGAACCAGACAACTCTTTGCCAAGTTGACTTTGGGGCCTAACAGTGACACATGAAGTAGAAGCTGGGACGTATCCCGAGAGGCAGCTACCTGAGAGGGAGCACAAAGAAGCCAATCGTCCAGGTATGGCAGAATCCTGACTCCGGAGGCCTGTAGAGGAGAGAGGGCTGCTTTCATGCATCGAGTAAACACCCTCGGGGAAAGGGAGAGCCCGAATGGGAGCACCCGGAATTGCCAATGGCGCCCCCGATAGGTGAACCTAAGAAAACGGCGATGTTCTGCCGCAATAGGCACGTGAAAGTAGGCGTCTGTCAGATCTACTGATGTAAACCAATCTCCCGCCACAATGGTCTGAAGGACCTCTGTTATTGTGAGCATGTGGAAGGGAAGGACCTTCAGGTACCGATTCAGTCCCCTTAGATCTAAAATGGGGCGAAAACCGCCGGTCTTCTTGGCCACAAGGAAGTATGTGGAGTAGTAGCCTCTGGGTTGCCGCAGAGGTTCTACATACTC